AACTGACCGCAACCCCCATTCCCCATCCCCCTGTGCTACTCAGGGGGAGCAGGTAGAGAAAATCAGTAGTGATGTTGAGCCTGGGAAGAAGGGAGGGGTGGGGGGAAAGTGTTTTAAGATTTGGTTTTATTTCTCATTACCCTACACATGTTCTCTCTCCTCTCTCCTACTCAGTTTTGATTGGTAATAAATTAAAAGTGGTTTTCCAGAAGTTGAGTCTGTTTTGCCCGTGATGGTAATTGCTGAGTGATCTCCCTGTCCTTATCTCAACCCATGGGGTTTTTTTGCTATATTTTCTCTCCTCTGTCCAGTTGAGAAGGGGAGTGATAGAGTGGCTTTGGTGGGCACTTGGCATCCAGCCAGTCAATCTACCACAACTACTTAAGAAATTATTAAATAATTAATTAATACAAGATTATTTGGTCTTGTGGGGACAGACATGGATACAGTATTATTGCATGTGGGCTTCAGGAATAGACAGTCAGGTTTGTGATAGCTCTTGGAGCTGAAGAACAGTTAAGTGTCATTGAAAATACAAGTTTTCACGCATAAAATAGCAACTCTTCCCTCCCCCAACTCCCCCCGCCCCTGCTTCTGGAAAGTGGGCAGTCCTGAAGAGAATGTCAGTAACAATCCCTCCACCCCCAAAAAGAGGAAAGCACTATATAAAGGATTGTAAGGTGTTTCTGTGCCATACCTACGTGACCAAAGGACTGTTACAGTCATTCTTCCACACTGTCTCATTCTTTTTATCTCTCTAATGGAGCTGCATCCTGACCTAATTGCAAAGTCTTTTTTGCACAGACAGCATCACCTTGTCTGAACTTTAAATGCCTAGCTGCTTTTTGACACCATAAAAGAAAAGTGTACATTCTGAAAACCTACTTATGTCAGAGAGATACTGTACTTAACTGTACTTTCCAGTTTCAAATACTATCCTTTTCATTGCAGCAGTGGAGATAAAAAGGACATCAGACAGAAAAACTTCCTCTCTGCAAAGGAAAGTGCCTGCAGCCTGCATAGGTAAGCTTAAAAATACTACTTAGTTGTTTCACCTGACAAAAAAAAAATCATTAATTAGACTTCTGAGTGACTGAATTCAACAATTACTTGGTGAATTTAACTCATTGTAATAAAAGAATTTAATATATTTGTGTTCAACAATCCATATGGGACTTTGTGCATACTAAAATACAACAGCTATATAAGTTAGTTTAATTTGCACGTTGTCAAACATGGCCTACAGCATAATTTTTAAAAATTACTTTTACAGCTTTTTGCTATCTGATCAACTTGGTGTCTGGGCTTTTTATCATAGCTACACAGAATCCTTTTTGGTATCTGAGTTCATTTGCTTACAGCTGTTTCAAAAAAAATTATTATCAGTCTGTAAGTTTGAAGTCTGTTAATGTTTTCCATATGCTTTTATATGGAACAAAAGCTAAGATACACTTCACTAAAATAGTATCTGTACAAGAAAACCTATCTTCACTACAGGTTAGTAAGCTGAAATGCCAGTTTTATATGCAGTCATTGTACAGAACTTCGATTTCTTATTTGCAGTCTGGAAATGGAGAAAAGACTGAAAACTGAAATTGGAAAAAATAAATATATTTCAGTTCTCAACACACATTTCGTAGATTTAAAAATACAGACTGAATTGTTTATGCAAGATATAGATTTAAGATTAGAGCTCTGAACAAAGTAACGGTAGATACAGACATCAGCACAAATTAAATGCATCTAGCCAGACTCCTGTATCATGCACAGTTTAATTTGTACTTAAATGGAGGTACAGGACACTCCTCTGCATTTCTGCAATTACAGTAATACTTTGCACTTATTTTGCTTATTTAACTTAAAATAGTCTAGAAGTGGTTTCCAAAGTAGGTTACAGATGTTCCAGAAGATTGAAAAATAAACCAAGATCACACAAGTTATTGTCAGACCTTAGCTTGAAACTTCTGTTTCCTCATTTATTTTATTAGATTCTATGCATGTAAAATCTTTGGGGTTTAACATCAGCCACCTTTTCTTCACAAAATCTCAGTGGAAGAGAACACCCAAACAGTAACCTCATGCAAACTCAAGATAATAACACCATAGGACAAACAGCAGTTAGTAAGACTGAAAAGTAGGAGAGAAAAAGAAACAGTTATAAATAAGAACAAAAAATAAAAAAGATGTTAGATACACATTACAGAAGTATAATTCTTTTAATTGTGTTTCAGCTCTGACCATTCATTCAAGAAATACCGGCATAAATGGCAAATTCAACATGTCATCTTCAGCCATCGTTAGCTACTACTGTAGCTCTACCAGTCATCTACTCTTTCCTATTTCCTGCTGGAAGTTTTGGAAATATTCTTGCTGCCTGGATATTTTCAAGGCAAGCATCCACAAAAAGAACACAATACATTTACCTGGTAAACTTTGTCACTGCAAATTTACTCATATGTAGCACTATGCCTTTTCTGGCTGCGTATTTTGCAAGAGGGTATCGATGGACTTATGACTCTGTAGAATGTAGAATAGCAAATCACCTTGGGACTCTCATTATGCACGTCAGTATGTATGTTACTATTACAATTTTATGTTCAACTGCCCTAAGTCAGTATGCCACACTGAAGAAAAATAGTGACGCACAATACTCTCAAGCAGTTAATGAAAACTTTTACGGATGTGTACTTGAAAAGTTTCGTCAGCCAAAATTTGCTAAATATTTGTGCATCATTATATGGCTTACTGTGCTCTGCATAACGGTAATAGCTATAATATATAATGTCAAGGCAGGGCCTATGGAAGGACATAGCACATGCTATAACATCAAGGTAGAAGCTGGTGAATTTACCTCAATGATTGCAGGTTCTTTGGCCACTGCATGTTTTTTTGTATCTTTTATGACAGTTTTGTTGTCATACTATTCTCTTACCAGACATCTGAGTAAAATACAACAAAATACTTGTATTGGAGAAAACCATCTAATTTACAGAACAGTGAAAAGAAACATTCTTGTCATCCAGATGCTATTAACTGTCTGCTTTCTTCCATATCATATTTTTAGGCCAATTTTTTATGTACTGCTTAAAAATAATGACTGCCCAAGGTTAAACTATCTAGTGGAAATTAAAAATTTCCTTACTTGTGTTGCTGCTGCTAAGAGTAGTTTAGATCCAGTTATAACCCTTCTGCTAGGTAAAACATTTAAGAAAAGTCTGTATGGCCTGTTTACAAAATCCACACCAGAACACCACAAATGTAAAGCTGATAGTTTCACTGAAAAAACTCCTGAAATGTGAAGAAATATCGGAAGATTTTAGTAGATATAAGGAACAATAAACTCATTTTAACTACCTATAACCAGACTTTGATATGAAAGGTAAATATGTAAATAAAATGATAACATGTTACTTGTATTTTTCTTTCAAATGATCTTGCTTGCTACATCAACATTAGCCATAATAAATGTGATGTGTATATCCAAATGAATCCAAGTGATTGATCTATTGAACTGTGTAATACCCCTTTATCCATGCAATGCAAAAGGCATTTTATGTTTGACCTATGGACAGTGCTTTCTACCTAAATAATCAAAGGAGGCGGCAGAAACTAGGCTGAAGTTGAGGACCCAGGTCTTTTTTACCATCAATAAGAGAGTCCCAGCCTATCAAAAGCTTAAGGAAGCAGGCACAGAGAGCTATAAAACACATTCAAGATGTGTTTTTGTAATTTTTTTCAGGAATATCTGGGTAGAAGGTTGATTCTTTTTTTTTTTTTTTTTTTAATGGGGAATGCATCATGATATACTAAAACTCTTTAGTGCATAAAGAAAAGTTACTGATGACATCTTATTCCAAAGTTACTGAAAAATGCCATTATTTACTTTAGCTATGTCTGTCACATTGGGGTTTTGCTATAGTAATGGGTTTTTTAGGAGTAAAAAACTGTGTTAAGAAATGATGCACTTTTTTAATTCTAGCCTTCACAGAAAAAGTTTTGCTACAGCTTCATACTAAAATAGCAGAAATCTCAGATTTAAGAGTTAACTACTTATCACCCTGCTCTGACATTTCCTGTCATGGCCACAGTGTTACATTTGCAACAGGGTGACTCTGAAAAGAATGTTGTCATGGTGATGGATAACCTGCAGGGGTGAAATATCCACAGATGAGGAGAAAATCTGGTGGCCTAGGATTTTACTTAGTGTTTGAGAAGAATGGGTTTCATATGTGCTCCGTAGCTTGGTCAGGAATAATTTTTCTTCCAGTCTTATCCATGGCAGACATGTTCAACAGCTGAGGCAGTGGCTTCCGTATTGGTATGCAGCCTTTGTGTACTCAGGATACCGTACTCACCCAAAAATGCTACGCACTTATTCCAATTCAAAGGTGAATTAACACACGCTGTTCCAGAAGGCACCTCCTTCACAACAATGTTTAAATCCAGACCATTTATAGAAGAGTGCATAAAGCACAAAAGATCTACAAAATTGCAATATATCTGAATGTACAATAATATTAAGTGAAGAAAAAAAAGGATGAAATGCACACACACAGTTATTTCTAACCTCTGGTACTACTTAGGATTAAAAAAACCACCAGCAAAACAGATCACTGGAATTTCCATACTCCTAGTCTAATCTTGTGAGGTAAATTATATGGTTTAATTAGGAAGGCATAAATGCTTATCATTTACTGGTATACAAAATATTAAATGATAAACATTTAATGATCATTAACAGCATGAGAGCAGTGCAAAACAGAAGGTTTTGTGGTTGGTTTTTTGTTTTTCTTTCTGAACTGTAGACATTAGAATATCATGATGACTTAAGGAGGGATTTCAATTATTTTTAATCATTTCTGCAGAAGACACTGAAGATTACATAATGGTCTTTTCCCTTGTACAATCTTCTCTGCAACTGAGATCAAGAGGAGTTTACTGAGTGTAAAACGTGCTATAAAATACTACGTATTCTGAGAAATCCTATCACTCACCCGAAACTTCACAATAAAACGTAGTGAGCAATTCTGTCTTCCCAACCCTACTACTGAGTTCCATGACAGGTACACTAAACTGACCCAAGTGCCAGTAGACAGAAAATATCAGGTCTTCTCTAGGAGAGTCCCCACAAATTCGTATCATCTGACAGCTGTTTCATGTTCTGCAGAAATTAAATAAAGATGCAAGTGAAAAAGACAGAAAATCATAGGTAACATACAATGTTACCTGTGATAATAGGCTTCTTTCACAGGATTCCCATGTGATGCTTAGCATACGACTTATGAAAAACCTTAAGTGGGCAGCTCAGGGTCTAATGCTACGAAGCGCTGTAGGAAAGTTGCTCTGCAAACACAGTTCTTGAGCATGGGAAGCCGCTTTGTGTGGGTGGGTGTTCAGCTGCACAACACAACCAATTCAGTACCTACAGCAGGAGTGAATTGAGCCATTTAAGTCCTCCAGACAGAACAGTGCTGCTTAGATGTCTGGTTTTAGATCAGTAGCTGTAAGTCTGGGTCAGGAAAGCTGTTTACTACAAATGTGTTCTTATAATTTGCATGGGCGCAAACTGAGAACCCACGACTTCTGTCCTTCCTTAAATACATTTTATAGGGAATGCAGTTAGGCTATCTCAGTAGAGTGCCTGCCTGTGGATGTTTTTCTTAATACAGAGTTTTTGATGGTAGCATAGGCTTAAGTAATTCTTTCTCCACTTTTCTAGTCACAACCGCTTGTTCCTCAGTGCTGCATTTATCAAAAAGGCAAGAAAACGGATGAAACTTCAGGAACTACTAATCAAGTATAACTTTGTGATAGACTCTTAGCAAGATCCCATTCTCCATTCCTACATAATACCAAAAAAATGATATATACTTGTCCTGGTTTCGGCTGGGATAGAGTTAATTTTCTTCCTAGCAGCAGGCATAGTGCTGTGTTTTGGATTTAGTAGGAGAAGAATGCTGATCACACACTGATGGTTTTAGTTGTTGCTAAGTACTGCTTAAGCTAGTCAAGGACTGTTCAGCTGCCCATGCTCTGCCAGGTGCACAAGAAACTGGGAGGGGGCACAGCCAGAACAGTTGATCCAAACTGACCAAAGGGCTATTCCATACCATATGACGTCATGCTCAGTATAGAAACTGGGGGGCGGTTGGCCAGGGAGCAGCGATCGCTGCTCGGGAACTGTCTGGGTATCGGTCGGCGGGTGGTGAGCAATTGCATTGTGCATCACTTGCTTTGTATATTGTTGTTGTTGTTGTTATTATTATTGTTGTTGTTGTTGTTATTATATTGTTATTACTATCATTACTATTTTACTTTATTTCAATTATTAAACTGTTCTTACCTCAACCCAGGAGTGTTTCTCACTCTTACTCCTCCAATTCTCTCTCCCGTCCCATCGGGGTAGGGGGAGTGAGCGAGCGGCTGCGCGGTGCTTAATTGCTGGCTGGGGCTAAACCATGACAATACTTTATTTTTTTCCTATGTAGCCTCTTCAAGATGGTCTCCTTTAAATTTTTGAATTGCATCAAAAGTTTTTCTTGTTTTATATAGTGGAAAAGCTTTTGCGCAGTACAGGCAATTTGAGAAACTACAAATTGAGTAATACACTGGTCTAGTATTTGACAGAAAAGTTCATGGAGGAAAAATCCCCCAAAACAGAAAGGCATGAGGGAGAGACAGAGAACTACTTCAGCAAAACACAGCTCATGCTAACCTTCTTGCACTGCTTAGACATCCTGGTGCCAACTCAGAAGTTAGCAGGTGACTTGTGAATTGTATAATAAAAAATAAAATTAATTCCTTTCTATAGCAGGGAACATAAAATCCTAAGGAAAATGTGCACAGCACATGGTTTGCAAAGCAGTTTAAAAGACTGCAAGTGTCTGTCTAGTTTCTGGTTAACTCGTTCAAATGTGCTGCATGGGTGGCCAGTTCATCGATAAAGAGATACATGTTTCCTGACTGGCTGGGAAAATAACTGGAATATATAAACTTCCTGATCAAAAAGCATGTAGATTTTGAGCTCTAAGTAGGCCAAGCAGCATAAATATACTTCTCAGCAAAACTGCTTCTGGACACCAACAGTACACTAGGAAAAGGGCAGGACAACACAAGAAATGGGGACTTTGAGATAGGAAGCACATGTACAGCAGTGGAGATAAACGGGGTGTGTGTGTGTGTGTGGAAAGTACCACCTGAAGAAACATTGAGGAAAAAAATACTGAAAGCTTTATTCTTGGAGCCTCTTAACTTCTGCATTGAATGAGGAAGTGCTCCGCAGAAAAACAGGGCCAGATAGGACACCTTAATTCTACCTCTGCTATTGATTTTGCAGCCTTAATAACCTTTAACAATTTAATACGTTAGCAAAATCCTCACAAAACAGTTGCTACTGGATCTCAAGAATCTAATAACTTCTAGAAAATACATAAAAAGCACCAGTTATTACTGACTGTCACCAGAAAGCATAAAGCAGGTTCCATGCCAAAGTCAAAAGAGCAGAAGGAAAGTAACATGCAACAGGTTTCTTTTTTTGGATATTCAAAGATTGGAAAAAGAAGATGATGGTCTTAAAGAACTGCTTCTATTCTGGTTATTTTCTGTATAGTTGAATACACACTTACATAAATGCACACAAACACATATGTACAAGCCTTACTAATTTTCTAGATACATCTAAAATCAGAAGTATAAGAGTCTTGAATTCTACTGGCAAAATCTGAAGTGCCTAACTACAAGTAGTTTAGGCAATGAAAGACAGAAGTGGTAACTGAGCATGCTCTAAGAATTCATATGGTTAATTCAGTTCTGTATAGCACATAAATCAAGATGCAAATCTATTCACAGACCAAGTCACAAGTCACCTGGACCAACTGGAATTTGTATATGACACACAACACAGTTGTCGTGGCTAAACCCCAGTCAGCAACTAAAGCACCACACAAATGCTCGCTCACCCTCCCTGCCCCCCAGGGGGATGGGGGAGAGAATCAGGGGGAAAAAAAGTAAACCCCATGGGTTGAGATAAAGGCAGTTTAATAGGACAGCAGAGGAAGAGGAAATAGAGGAAATATTATAACAACAACAACAACAACAATAATAATAATAAATATACAAAACAAGTGATACACAATGCAACCACTCACCACCCACCAAACGATGCCCAGCCAGTCCCCGAGCAGCGATCGCTGCCCCCCAGCCAACCCCCCCAGTTTCTATACTGAGCATGACATCACATGGTATGGAATAGCCCTTTGGCCAGTTTGGGTCAGCTGTCCTGGCTGTGCCCCCTCCCAGT